ACCTTCGTTTGTCGTAGGGACTAGGCACATTACGTTTAAAAGTTGTCTATTTATTGGGTCTAGGCTTCTTTGATGATCATATAGTTGTAATTGATCCCAACCTGATTCACAGGTTGAGAAACCTCAACTCCTTGGCTTCTAGGCAAAGCACTTCAGCCCTCACTCTTCGGACCTTCCTCTGAGCAAGAGCCGATGGAGGAGGCATGAATTTTAAAATGTATCTTTTTCTCCGCCTGCCCGGAGAAAAAAAAGTTAATTTAATTTTCAATTGCTTTTATGTGTCACAGTTCATAAATCTTTAATCCTTTCTCATATGGAAGATAAATATCACTTTAGATAGAGAAGCTGTAGTCCTTAAGATGAATAAACATTTAAATGAATCCGTTCTGACATAGATCTAACAACTTTTCAGTAATTTTAGGATTCCATCTATAATCAAGTTGTATGATTTCCTGACCTTTTAGGCATTCTTGATAAGTTTTTAAATGTTTTCCTCTTAAAAAATAAACCATTATATGGCTATCATTATTTCTTAAGCTTCGGATTAATTGGCCGCATCATCTACTTTAGTGTGTATAATTTAGACAACAGAATCAAATCTAGTTATGAAATTGTCTATGTCGTAAATATCACCCTTAAAGTCTACTTCTGTGTTTGGAATTATTTTAATTGACCCACAACCGCCTCCACGTAATGAGGATGCAACTTTATTAAATAGGCCTGACATTTTTAATAATAATTTAAATAATAAATCAATACCGGTATAAAAATTTTATAACTTAATATACACAGCTTTTTATAGAGTCAGAACTATATAATCACTGTTGTCCCTTCAAAATGATTTTTACAAAATTAATTAATATCTATACAAAAATAATATCCTTTAAATCTTTAAAAATTCATCAACTGGTTATATTTTACAATTAAATTAAGAAATTGCACCTAAATTGTAGAATTAAAAAGGAAATAATTATTGCTATTTGATAAACATAATGGATAATCTTAATAAAATTTATCTTCTCTATAACAACCTTCTAAGATAAATTTGACAATAAATTATTTAAATATCTAAAAAAGCATTCATATTAGCCACACTTAAATGCATGGGTATTTTCTCTTAAATTTCCAAAATAAATATTTTACTAATAAAAATTTTTCAATAACATCGTTAAAATTTAAAGTTTATAAAGTCAATTTAATAAAAAAATAATAGTATTACTGTTAATTAAATATGAGTTGAGAATATATTATTTTGTGGGTATGATATATTCACTCTCAAGAAATACGAAGATTAGAAAACTTAGAAATGATAATAGTGGTAGAGTCTGGTCAGTCTGTTTCTCTCCTGATGGAAATACATTAGCTTCTGGTAGTTATGATAGGTCTATCCGTCTATGGGATGTAAAGACAGGATAAGAAATTTCGTCTTCTGATAAAAAGTATAAATATATTCTTGCTAAATTCAAAGCACCACTTTTTTAGAACAATCCTCAACCAGGTATTTATTGTATTATTATTACTTAGTCTCTAATTATTCATATCTTGTTATATCTTCATCTATAATATTGGAAGCATAAGGTGCTCTTATCTTATAAGGAGAATTTATAAACCATTAAGGAAAAGATTTAAAACCTTTATTCAAATCAAAAGGAAGTTGCTTTTTGGAAGACCTTAAATAAAAGTGATAATTATTATTCATAAACAACATTACAACAATTATTATTTAAATTCCTTCTTTATTTTTTTAATTATATCTTTTTTTTGCTCTATTCTTTATTTTGATTTCTTAAGATTCATAGAAGTTTTTCAAAAGTATTCCATTTTAAGGAAATGTAGGGTATATTTATTGAGATCTCCTTATATATTAATTAACATTTATAGAGATTTAATGTTAAATGATATTACATTAAATTAATCATCCAAACAGAGAACAGTATGCACAGATTTGAAGTGATTAAAATAAAAATTGATTTAAATTGCTTAATTGAAACCAAACTTAACTAAAAACTGCATGATTATTTCATAAGATATTCTTTTAATTTAATTAATTTATTACTTATAAAGATATAATTAATAACTTTGTACAATTAGTTTATAAATAGTAAAAGATATATTTAATAACAAAGATAATAATAAAAAAGATATGACAAGAATTAAAAAAATAAAGTTAATCTTCTAAACTATATAATAAAGTTAAAACAATATGATATTGATTAATTTTAACATTACTCTCAATTCAAGATAATGTATCAATCACCTGTTAATTGATAAGATATTA